GTTTACAGCGTGCTTCTGTCTCCGCGCTGTTGTCGCCCTGTGATGACGTCAGCTACGTGGTTTCGTCGAGCGCACTTTAGTCGAACGCGATTTTGTGGTGGAACCCTCCTTTCCTCCTGCTTCTCTCGGTTTTACGCAACACCTGGTGACGTCTTCCGAAGGGAGCATTCCCCGGAACGCCCCAGTCCTGTCCCACATAATGAAGAGAAGGAGACCGGAGAACGTTGGCATCCCGCCTTGTGTTTTCTTCAGAAAATCCTCTTGCATTCTCTCCTTCAGACACGCGGACACGTTGCCTGCCTCCCTTGGCTGGGCTGACATGAACAGAACAGGCCGTTCTCTTTTCTTTCTGCATAATGGGAGGGACGTGATCCGTCAGAGGGAAGTGAGGGGGGGGGAAACAGCCAGCTGTTGGCAAATGCTTTGCAACATTTTGTCCCTTCTAAGGTGGGTTCGGGCCACGGCTGTCCACCTTCTTGAGCAAAGCAGCTTGGGATTCTGGGAGCTGGGCTACTGGCATGTCGTGGAGGGCTTTCTGGAGGAAACTAGGTTAAATCGTACGGTGAACAATATCAGTGCCATTTGAATGCAACGTCGGAGGTTTTCAATTCAATTGCATAGAATGGGAAGGATGGGCCAAGGTGTGGCTTTACTCCCAAGTCAACCCTGCTTTCTTAGTTGTTCTTGTCTTCTTGCAACTCTGCGCATGGCAGAGGTGGGTTCCTACCAGTTCGCACCTACTCGGTAGAACTGGTTCGTCAAATCTACCGAACCGATTAGAAGAGGTTCCACCAGTGGACCCGGAAAGCAGGCCACACCTACAGAAGAGGGTCCAAAAGTTTTTGAAACCCACCACTGGCGCATGGGCACACTGGGAACAGGCTCCAGCTGTTCTTCTGCCTCACTGCTGTCTAGCTCCCTCTCTGCCTCCGATGCGGAGCCCTCGTCTGAGCTTTCCTCAGCCCCCAAGACTGGCCCATGCTCCTCCCCAAACTCGTCCCTGTCCGACTCTGCTGCCAGCTCCACTGATTGCCTCCATCAGGCCACAACACCCAGGTTGAGAAATGTGCTATAAGGAATATAGCCAGGATCCTTTTTCCGATGAAAATTTGTCTCTCCATCCAGACATTTTTCAGTAGGGTGCAGAGCACTTAATCCATAAATCAATTCAACTGTTTCTTTATGTCTCTTTTTATGGCCAGCAAAGCATTGATTGGAAGAACAAAGAAGCAGGCGATAAAAAGAAAGAGAATAGAAATAAAGACAGCTTCAAAATCAGATGGGAATAAAAGAGGTAGGGAGAGTTCTCGGTTTAGGATGGGTTGCTTAATGACCGTTGCACTCACGACGACCCATGGAGGAAGAATTTTCGGTTGCTAATGGGGGGGGGTTTCTAAAGCGGTGGCATTTGATATTGGGACCATTTTGCTACAGTCGTTAAGTGAATCA